GCTGGCCGGTCGGTTGCGGTTGGGGCGGTTGCGGTTGCGGTTCTGGTCGGGGAGGGCAGAAGGCGGCAACGGAAGCCAGAGGGCGGAGGCAGCTGTGCTTGGGAAGGAGAAGAAGACGACGGGAAAGGATAACGAGAAGGGAGAAGGAGGAAAGGAAGAGGAGGAGGAGCCGTGTTTGTCATCGCCTCCCAAACAGTTTCTCGGCACCTCCTCTTCCTCTTCATGCGCTTCCTCCCCCGCCTCCGCCTCCACCCACGCCACCACCTCCTCCGCCACCTCCTCACCCCCCTCTGCGCCGGCCCACCCCACCCTCGACCTCGCCTCCTCTCCCCCCTCGCCCTGCGCCTGCGGCAAGTGCGGCAGGCACCAAGACAGCAAGGCCCTAACCGCTAAGACGCCGGTGGAGGGGCAGCACAGCGACGGTAACGGCGGCAGCGGCAGTGGCGGCGGCAACAGTTCGGGTAGCGGTAGCGGCACCGTTGCCAGGGAGCAACCCACCAGCGGTGACGGTGCTTGCAACGGCTCTGATGCTACCACCAGCAGCAGCGACGGTGGTGGCAGCAGCGGTGGTAGCAGTGGTGGTGGTGCCAACACCAGCAGTGGTGGCAGCAGCGGTGGCATGCTGGTAGACATCCAGGAGCACCTGGAGCTGAGTCTGCTGCACGTGTTCATGGAGGCGCTGTTCGGAGTGGGGGCGGACAGCTTCCCGGGTGGGAGGGGGATGCTTGGGTGGAGGGGTGTGAGGGAGGGTTGCGGGTACGGAGTTGACGGAGCGTTGGCTCCATGTGGCGAGTGGGTATGCAGGTCCCGGTGTGCCAACAGGTGTATTGTCCGAACTGTGCAACATGTTGACGGGGCTCTCCCCCCCCTCGGCTCAGCTTATCTAACCTCCCTCAACCTCTTAAGTCTCGTAACAAACTGCCTTCCTCTGTCCCCATTGCTTTGCCCTAACCTGTAGTTCTGGTATATCTAGTTCTGGTATGTCTCTGATCCCTTCCCCCCCACCCCCCCACCACCACCCCAGGTCGCCAGGTAGCGGCGGACATGAACCTGGTGCTGGCGGAGGCCAACCAGCGGCTCAAGGTGCCGCTGAGGAAAGTGGTCATGGCGATGGCACAGCCCAGGGTGAGAGGAGGGGGAAGGAGAGGGACAGGACTAACCAGGAAGGGTACAGAGAAAGCCCTAACAACTAGGGTTTGCCCACCTCACCGACTCGCTTTACTCAACCCCCCTTCCGTACCAAACCTCCCTCCCTCCCTCCCTCCCCCACTTGCTCCTGCCCGGCCCCAGTCCCAAGCTGCCGTACGAGCCGCCCAGCTGCGGTTGGACCGGGTGTACGGAGAGCTGTACGACACCATCCGGGCTCGGGGGCCGCAACCCGACAGTGTGACGGACCTGTGGGCGTGTCTGAGCAGGGTGCGGCACCCGGCCACTGGTGAGGAGGGGGGAGCGGGGAGCGGGGGGTAAAACAAATAATGCGACACTGACGGTGCGGAGGGCGGGGGGGGGGGAAGAGGGGTGAGCGGTGACACCTGTCAACCTATCTGCGCGCACGCATAGACGCATGCATAGACGCATGCATGCCCGCATGCATACAGGGTACATGTGTGCATGCGAAGCATGTGTGCGTGCATATCGATGTGCACACCTGCCGTACGTGGACTCAGTCGCTGCAGTCACATACACAACGCGCCCCAACACAGACCCCAGGCATTCCCTCCTCAACCCCTCCCCTTCCCCTCCTCCCCCCTCCCTCCCCTCCTCCCCCCTCCCCCCTCCCTCCCCCCCCCAGGCTGCCAGCTCTCCCGCGAGCAGTTGGTTCCGGAGCTGGGTGCGCTGGTGATGGCGGGTTTCGACACCTCCTCGCACTCGGTGGGCTGGGTGCTGTTCGCGCTGGCGGCGCACCCGGGGGCGCAGCGGGCGGTGCGGCGGGAGCTGGCGGGCAGGGGGCTGCTGCGGAGGAAAGGTAGGGGGGGGGGCGGGGCGCACGGGGGGGGTCAGGGATGCATGGGCGGCAGCATGGGCGGCATGCGCATCAGTCACTGGGGGCCTAGCCGGAGCGAGGACGTGCTGGGGCGGGGTAATACAGGGCAGCCCACCTCCGCCAGACCCAGTCTAACCGAACTCGCCCGAACGCACCCCAACTCAGCCCCTGCCCCAGGCCATCAAAACCTCTCCCCCCCCCCCCCCCACACACACACCTCCCCCCCCCAGGCTCCCCCGCCCCTCCCCGCGACCCCTCCCTGGACGACCTGCCCCAGCTGCCCTACCTCAACGCCGTGATCGATGAGACCATGCGCATGTACCCCGTGGCAGCAACCGCATCCGTGCGGTGAGGGGGAGGGAAGGGAGGGGGCTTGGTTGGGGGACTGCGGCTCTCATGCATGTTTTCGTGGGTCACATTTGTTAATACTCTTCGAGCTTGTTCATCAGGTGTATGTATCCGACCTATCCGACAAGTGGCACCCCTGCCCGTTCCCTCCTAACCCCTCCCCCCTTAATCCCCCCTCCTAACCCCTCCCTCCCTCCCTCTGATCCTTTCCCCCACTCCTTCCCTCGCCTCCCCTCCCCTCCCCCCCAGCGAGGTGACCCGCCCCACCCGCGTGGGCCCCTACCTGCTGCCCCCCGGCGTCATCGTGTGGCCCATGCTGTACGCGCTGCACAACAGCCGACACAACTGGGAGCAGCCGGAGCGCTTCTGGCCGGAGAGGTGGCTGGGCGGGGCGGGGGCGGGGGCGGGGGCGGGAGCGGCAGGTCAGCAGGAGCAGGAGGAGCAGGAGGAGGGGGGCAGTCGCAAGGTTGGCAGCAAGGGCGGTGGAAAGGAGGTGGAGGGTGGTGGCGGTGGTGGGGATGCCTCGCCACGGGGTGCGGCAGCTGGGAGCAGCGGAGCCGGGGGCGGCAAGGGCGGCGGCGGTGAGGGCGGCGGCAAGCGCTTCATGCCCTTCAGTGACGGCATGAAGAGCTGCCTGGGGCAGGTGAGGGGCTGCGGGGGCGGGGGGTGCGGGGGTAGGTGCGGGGATGAGCACGAGGGAGGAGGCATGGGGCTCCTGCCTGACAGCCACGCACCCCTTGCCTCAATTGGGAGCTGCCGCCGGTTATAGGAAGATTGATAGGATCTCACGTCCTCCTACCTCTCATCCTCCTCAGCCACTGCCATCCTCTTGCCCCCCCCCTCGCTCCTGCCAGGCTCTGGGCCTGATGGAGGTTCGCACCATGCTTGCGGTGCTGCTGGGGCGATACCGCTTCGACCTGGACCCGGCGGCGGGCGGCGAGGAGGGCGTGCGGGGGCGCATGGTGATGAGCCTGACACTCAAGATCCAGGGGGGGCTGCGGCTGGTGGTGACACCGCTGGGAGGGGAGGAGGAGGGGGAGGAGGAGGAGGTGGGAGAAGAGAAGGGAGAGGGAGAGAAGGGAGGGAGTGCGGTGGAGGTGTGATGGGGGGCGGGCAATAATAAGGAACATGAGAGAGGAAGAGCGAGGGGTGCTCCGCCGAGGAGAGTGATGCATGAGTTGCGGGGGGGGGGGCGTGTGGGACTAGCTGCGGAGTTGGGGGGGCTTGGTGGTCTGCGGCTGTGGTGGCCAGGGTGATGGTGGGTGTGTGAGGGGGTTTGTGAGGGAGAGAGGTGCCTGTCTAGTGCTGTATATGGAAGGCGGCGGTTAGGAATGTGCGGACTGTAGGAGGGATGCTGGCTACCAGGCATGTCAGTAGTGGCGGAGATGGTGGTGGGCGCATCAGGGCATGCGAGTGGAGGAGATGGTGGTGGGTGCACGGGGGCATGCATGCAGGGGCAGCGGGGTGGTGTGGAGAAAGGGGTCCGTGCTGCGGCTGCTGAGTGTGTTCTTTTTTAGGGCGGAAGGCAACGGCCTTCGTAAGGTGATGAGGTTGAGGTGTGGTGTGACAGGTGCCCAGTGCGTGAGTGTGGGAGCGGAGTGCGGAAGCGGGAGAACTTGAGGAGTCGGCATGGAGGGTTCGGTATAGAGATGTGTTTTCTGTGTCAGGCGGCGGGGCGAGAGATTAGTAGAAGCACCCTGGGAAGGTTGCTGGTTGGGTTCGACTTGGTGGGGGTTGTGCTGCTTTCAAAGTCCACGCATCCCCTCCCGCTTGTGTAATGTTACACGTGAAGGGCATTCGGATGGGTTGAGTGTAGATGGTTTGATGATCCGTGTTTCTGGCCGCCGCAGTTTGCAGAGGGAGAGTGTGTCAGGTTTCTGTTTCTGAGGTTTGTCATTGGATTCCCTTCCCAGGGCCGTAAGCCGGGTGCCTGAGTTGCATGCAAAGGTGCGGTTTCTGATGTATCACTGTATCAGCGCGTGACTATCACGTTGCTCGCCCCTGATCTTGGTGCTTTAGCCTTAGTCATCTCATCCTGCTATCGTTCGTGCATGCATGTGCACATCCATCGCTGTCGACGCGTTGCTTGCACGTGCATGCCGCTTTGCCGTTGTGTATGTACCGTACCTGTGTTGGCTTTAGTTGGCGCTAGTTACAAGTCCGATTGCCCAGAGCCGGTGTAGTACACTTGGTAGTTAAGAAAACTGCCGTACAGGCTGTACTAAGATCGTGAGAGTGGTCAGCTGCCGTACCGGCTTTGGAGATACCTGCCGTGCAAAGTGCCCGTTAAGAGTTTCGTCGTGTTGAGTTGCTGCCGTTGTATCGTCCATTCTTCGTATTTGCCTATCGGTATGCCGTGGCATGACGCTTTGTCGTGCCGCGCGGATTTGTGACTTGTGGCAGAGGTGTTGAGCGGTTAGTTCGTTGGTTGGTTGGTAGTTGTTGCTGCGATGAGTGTGATCGGTCGGCAACCGCTAGAAATGTACTTTCCAGTGTCGCGTATTCTTTGCTACAGAAGTGTGCGTGTGTTATTGTGCAAGGTTGGTTAAGAAGCGGAAAACACCGTTTTAATCGTACGTTTATATGCTGATTTGTTTAGGAAGCAGCTTCAATACGCAACAGCCCTTGTCGGTTACACACATGCGAAGTGCCACAACGTGTAAAGCACGCCTGACCGAGGATAAAATGGGGGATTGTTACCAATGCTCCGGCCAGTCGGTTACATTACATGCCGTACCAAGTACCGGCCGTCGCTGTACGACCTATCGTGCTGTATGTAGCAATCCACCACCTTGCAAGTTTTGTGTCACGACGTAGCTTACACACCGAAAACACACAAAAAACCCAAGGGCGTATTGTAGCCGCGCACATTGCAGCGCGTAGACATACCCGGTGTACATCCCGACCCTTTCTGCATCTGGTGCCAGCGAACATTCACCACGATGAGTCTTGTTTTCCTAAGAAACCGCCGTACACCCTCCGTATGAAGTGGACATGCATAGGTATCAGGTCCAATGCGACATTCGTCTGACAATGCCCCTGCATGCATTGCATTTCTTTGCCGTACGCATTGTCATAACCGTATGCGAAAGCAACCCAGCGCTTGAGCTGCCGCCAGACGATTACTTTCGACCAGTGTCATAAACTCATAATACATACAAGTTCAACCTTCCGTAATAACCAACCCTGCACGCGCGCTTACAACTCCTGCATAGTCTCCCACAACCCACACAGTCCCACTATTTACTTTGTACGCCTCTATCCAGCGCTCACCCGCAGATACCATTCGCCTATACGAATTACCCACCGCTCGGTCACCTCCCTTGACCCCCATCCACGCGTCTAGTCCCTGCCGTACTCTCATCGTCTCATATTTTTTTATTGTATGGTCAAAGACCATACCAAAACCACACGCCCTGCTACCCCCGTACTCTAAAGCACAAGCCCTGCTCCCCCCTGCCCCCCTTTCCCTAACATCCCATGCACCCTCCGCATCTCCTCCCCGCATTTCTCCACCTATCCATGCTCTCATCTCCGCAACCGCTTGGCACCCCCGTTCTGCCGGCCCCCTTGACTCCCCTGGGCCCCTTCACTCCCGGATGCTTCCCCCACCGCCGCTGCAGGCGCCTTGGACGAGTCCTGCTCAGGCAGGTGGCGGCACGTGGGGCCGTCAGGGTCAGTAGGTCACATACACTGGGCATAAGGATGGGGAATTCACATGGACATGGGCCGGGTTCCTGCGGGTCGGATCAGCAACTGAAGCAGCTCTGCTCCGCATGTTGACCATCAGGAGGGCCACACAGGGGGAATCAAGCCCCCCTCACCGCAGCCAACTCCTCCTCCTTCGCCAGCCTCGGCCCCCGTTGCAGGGACACACCTCCAAGACCACAGGAGCCCCAACCGGCAGCTGCACCAGAGCACCACCCCTCAGCCTCACACCTAGAGCCCTCACAACCCCCCGCCCTCACACCCCCCAGCCCTCACACCTGGCCGCTCGCCTCTCCCTCCTCCTCCTCCGGTGCGCCCGCCGTCTTGTCGCTCCGGGCACTCCGGATGCCCGCATTGAGGGTGGCTATGTGGGAGGCCAGGCAGAAGTCCCGGGTGCTAATCAGGGCGGGAAGGGTGCCTGGGGGTCAAAGACCATACCAAACCATAGGAGACCACAAGTTAGGGCAAAGCCATGGGGGAAGGGGGAGAGCGCGGGTAGGGCGGGGCAGGTGGGGCGGGAGGACGTGATGGGGCAGGCAGCTTCCAATGCATCTGTCCTAGGACCCAGACACCCTTGCATGCGCCCCATACGCTCATGGCAACAACCACAACCACCGGCCCAGTCCACATCACACCAAACCCTCAACAGCCACCCAGCTCTCCCCCAATGCCGTACATACACACCCACGCACCCGTCGCTGAGGTGGGCAGCGCCACCTCGAAGCTAAGATCCAGCTGCTCCCGCGGCGGCAGTCGCAGCGCCTGCCGTACAGCCCGCAGGAAGGCGCGGCGGCCCGCCAGCCCCGGCCGCAACGGAATACGGTGCAACGAACCGTCGGGCGCGTGGACGTTGACGGTTGCCTCGGTCGCCGGTCGCACACGCTGCGGTAGCAGGACTTCTTGCCAGGGCGGTAGCAGGGACTTGCAGAAGCGACACTCGCGCTCCTCGCTAAGGTGGGAGAAGGAGGAAGGCGGGGAAGGCGGGGGCAGGAGGAGCGTTCAGGAGACGGGGGAGAGGAGGCGAAGGGACGAGGGAAAGCGCAGGAAAGGAAGGGCGGAGACGAGAACGTGAAAATAAGAAGTGGATGGGACGTATAAGGTTTGTGGTGAAAGAGGGATCGGCCATTATGCGCGGCGGTTATGCCCTGGGGATTTCAATTGAGTCATGGCAACGACAACAGGTAACAATACTTTTTTAAGACAGGCATTTGCCAGTTCAGCACATGTAGATGTAATCGTTGCCAGAGTATGTTTGTACGCGAAGAATTCCATATATAGGCGGGGCAGTTTCAACCGCGCCGTTGACATTGCTGACAATGCGCAAGTCGCGCAGCGTGGTAATTTTCGCACGCATTGCAGTGAATAGCGTAGTTTATGCCAGAAGCTGCTTTGGAAAGTTGTTATCCTAAACACGCCAGGACTAGCGCAGCAGAGCTGGCAACGCCCGTCGCCCGCACTAACCTTCGGCCGAGCCTCTCAAGTTGCCATCTCGCCAAGCACGTCCGATGTACAGGATTTGAGCATTTGCACGGTGCATCTTGGGGATTCTCGTCAAGGCATATCCAGCAAACTGGTGCTTGGCAAGCTGGCATTGCAACCTCCGATTCCATGTGTGTCTCCATTTCTTCGTCTATGCCCTTAATAGAGGTTGGTTAAGGGCGAAAAGTAAGGGCGACTGACCGTTACTAAGTAGAGGAGCTTGGGTCGCTGGCAAAGTTGGTTGTCGGTTTGCGGGGTTGCCAAAGAAACTACTGAACCTAATCTTATGAGCCCGAAAGGAACGCGTTAACGAGCGATAAGCCTAACAGCTCAAGAGGAGGTTTGCGAATGTGCCAAAATAGGTTTGCACAAGGGCGTTACACTAATCATAGACCATCAAAGCTGCCAGTGCACGACACTACCGTTCCTAGGAGACGCATATGCAAAAACGTATTAACGTGCGAAACAGTCCCAGGCAAAGTGCATCAAATCTGGCATGCAACGACGCTCCGAAACAGCGTTTTTTGCGGGCGTTTGCGCGGGTTAACTTACAGGATAGGTTGGACTGGGTGATGTGTTCTTTCAATATAGTAACTGAGTAACAATGGAGGACAAAACTGTTAAGAGCGTGTTGCTCGTGTTTGGTAAGCGGGTGCCCTTATGGACAATGCAATCGCAGCAACTTCACTGCAATTCCTCAACATAATGTTGATCTGCGTGCAGCAATGGAGGCAGAGGCTCAGCCTCTCATCCAGGCGCTCGGGCTAAAGGAAGATGCGCCGCCGAAGTAAGCCTTATCTTGTAGCACACGTTGTCTGTCGTGGCATTCTGCTTTAGTCGTACGTGCGGGTTACTACGGATTGTTGCGTCGCAGGATTCTAGGGCCAGCGCCATGCTTGACATTCTCCGGCTCCCATGAGGGCCTGAACGTGCACGTTGTTTGGAACGGGAAGGACCGGGAAACGGGAGTTGACAACGTTGGTACTGTGCCGGCCTCGCTATCGACATATCTCGCGGTTATGGCCTTTAAACCCGACATCGTCATCTCGGCGGGTACCTCCGGGGGTTTCAAGGCGCAGGTGGGGCATGTCGGGAAGCACGATAGCCGCTATCGGTTCACGTCTCTCCGTGTCATGCGTCGTCCCCTCATACTGTGCCATCCCAGCTACCAAGGTTTACCAAATATTATGGTTCCATCAGGTTCCATGTAAGCCACCCAACGCCCATACCAACTCCATTCCTGACTCATTTCACCCACCCCAGGGGGCTGCCATCGGGGATGTATTCCTGGGTACGGCAGTCATCAACCACGACCGACGCATTCCGCTGCCCAACTTTGACAAGTACGGCATTGGCTACAGCCTCTGCCTAGCCACTCCAGGCCTACAGGTACGTTCATAAATACGATCATGAAGTGCGACACACAGTGCAGAACCCACCAGCGCCGCTCGCCAGCACCTGGGCTGCTGAGACCCTTTCCAGCCCTCTCCCAACCCCGCCCCCGCAAAGCAAGCAGCAAGCGAGATCGCATGAGTCATGACCCTCGCATGCATCCCTCCTTCCCCTCCCACTCTCACATCGCATTCACGCATTCAACCACCTCCAACCCATGCGCATTCGGCCTCGATCCCCCACGCTTGCTCTCCCTCCTCATCCCTCTCCCCTCTCCACTCCCCTCCCCCTCCCCCCCAGTCCTCTCTGGGTCTGAAGCAGGGTGTGGTGTCCTCGGGCAACTCGCTGGACTACACGGACAAGTGCATGAGCATCATGGAGCAGCACGGCGTGGCGGTGAAGGAGATGGAGGCGGCGGCCATTGCATGGGCCTGCAACCTGTTCCATGTGGGTCGGGGGGGGGGTGAAGGAGATGGAGGCGGCGGCCATTGCATGGGCCTGCAACCTGTTCCATGTGGGTCGGGGGGGGGGGTGAAGGAGATGGAGGCGGCGGCCATTGCATGGGCCTGCAACCTGTTCCATGTGGGTCGGGGGGGGGGGGTGAAGGAGATGGAGGCGGCGGCCATTGCATGGGCCTGCAACCTGTTCCATGTGGGTCGGGGGGGGGGGGGGTGAAGGAGATGGAGGCGGCGGCCATTGCATGGGCCTGCAACCTGTTCCATGTGGGTCGGGGGGGGGTGAAGGAGATGGAGGCGGCGGCCATTGCATGGGCCTGCAACCTGTTCCATGTGGGTCGGGGGGGGGGGGTGAAGGAGATGGAGGCGGCGGCCATTGCATGGGCCTGCAACCTGTTCCATGTGGGTCGGGGGGGGGGGGGTGAAGGAGATGGAGGCGGCGGCCATTGCATGGGCCTGCAACCTGTTCCATGTGGGTTGGGGGGGGCGGTGAAGGAGATGGAGGCGGCGGCCATCGCATGGGCCTGCAACCTGTTCCATGTGGGTCGGGGGGGGGGGTGAAGGAGATGGAGGCGGCGGCCATCGCATGGGCCTGCAACCTGTTCCATGTGGGTCGGGGGGGGCGGTGAAGGAGATGGAGGCGGCGGCCATCGCATGGGCCTGCAACCTGTTCCATGTGGGTCGGGGGGGCGGTAAAGTGGGTCGGGGGGGGGGGAGGAGAGAGGGGTAGAGGAAATGGAGAGCGAGGGGAGGGAGGGGGGCGTGGGATCTCTTCATTGGCACTGGGGGCTTGAGGCTTTTGCGGTGCGGGCGCTGCAGTGTCATGAAGCCCTAGGCTGGCAGCCAGGGACTTGGGATGTCAGGATGCAGGAGGCATACATGGAGGGGACCTCTTGCACGCCTCTCAATACCCCATGGCATCTCACCCAACTCTCCCCTCCCACCCGTCTTCCCCTCAACCCCACCCTTTCCCTGCCTCTCCCTCTCCTCCTTACCCCCCCCCCCCTGCCTCCCCTCCTCCCCCAGGTCCCCCTCATGTGCGTCAAGGCGGTCACGGACATCGTGGACGGCGACCGGGCCACCGCGGAGGAGTTCCTGGAGAACCTGCACTCGGCGGCGGCGGCGCTGCAGTCCACCCTGCCGCGAGTGCTGGGGCAGCTGGCGGGCAGGAAGCTGGGGGAGCTGTAGGAGGGGTAAACTGAGCCGCGGAAACTCTGACCCTGTAGGAGGGGGGGGATAGGAGGCAACTGACGAGCTGTAGGAGGGAGTGGAAGGGGAGTGTTAGAGGGAAGAGACGTTGGAACCGTGTACCCCAGAGATGCACCTTCAGAGAGGGATGGGATGAAGATACAGGCAGCGGAGGGGCGGGTGCAAGCAGGAGGGGATAAGGATTGGGAGCTGCTTCTGAAGGTCTGAAGGGGGGGGTGTTGGGGTGTGGGTAATGGGGGCGTGCGATGTGTGGGTTTTATATTGGCCTTTAAGCGTATCATAGCAGGATGAACTACGTGGCAGGAGAGGTGCGTGCGACTATGCTTCGTGGCTTCTTAACTTACTTTGTATGAAGTATTGCAGCTAGGGAGGAATGCAGGGAATTGGAGCAAAGCAAAGCAGCAAAGCGGAGCCAACATGTAGGCTGGCAGTTGCTGCTGGGGTAGTAGGTGACTGTGTCTTTGCCGGCGGGCAGCAATAGCGCAGGAGGCACGCAGCAGGCAGGCAGGCAGGGCCATACTGCAGCACCGATTGGGGTATACGGGGTGGCTGCATGACGGAGATATGGGGCTTATCTGTGGAGACGGGCCACCCTGCCGCGAGTGCTTGGGGGGCAGCTGGCGGGATGGGGAAGCTGGGGATTGGGATTCTATTGTATAAGGCCCCGGTCAACCCCACACGAGCTGCAGCGTGTGAAGGATGTAAAGGACGAGACCTGGAGGCCCACCTGTCATGGAAGAGAGTTACATGTAACCCCCACCTCGGTACCGCTCCACCGCTCTCATCCCAGCTGCCCCAACTCCTCCTCCGCGCTACACCCCACCGAGACATCAGTCGTACACTGCCCTGGAACGCGCTACCATGAATGAATGGCCGTCACATGTCGTACATACTGTCGTCCACAGAATCCTCCTTCACCCCCTCTCACCCCTTCTTCCTACCAAACCTCCTATCCTCCTCCTACCCGCCGCCCCATTCGTCCTCCCAAGAATCCCAGCTCCGCCCTCTACTTCTCCCGCCTGCCTGCTAGCTCCCTCATGCCTTCCCCGGCCCCGCTCCCCCTCCTGGTTCCCAATGGTTTGGTCTATTTTGACCCCCCTCTGCTCGCAGCCGCCATGAACCTCCACAGTCCCCGCATGTAGATGGCCAGCGACTGCACCGTCAGCCAGGACGCCAGCAGCAGCAGCCCCACCCCCGCACCCGCCGCAGCGTCCACCAGCGGTCCCTGCCCGCCGTCCTTGACCAGCAGCAGCAGCGTGAGGGAAGCCATCTGGGGGTGCATCAGGGGCGCAGGCGGGGAGAGCAGCAGGGGGGTGGGAGGAGGGTTGTGACGACGTGTGGGTGTGCACCTCCTCCCCCCCACGGTCTCGTGTTCGTGGCAAGCTGAGCGGCTGGGCGTAGTTCATCAGCTACCGGTAGTAACCCAGGACTGTCTTTACCCGGTCCGCTTAGCTGGCACATCCCTTTCCCACCCTCCCTTCCCGCCCTCCTCCGCTCCCACCCTCCCTTCCGTTCCCCCTCCGCTCCCACCAGTCCCCCGCACCTGGCTAGCCGTCTTCCACTTGCCCCACGAGTTGACTGCCACCGCCTGCCGCGCCTCCGGCCCCGCACTGGCCGCCCACTCGCGCAGCGCGGACATGGTGATCTCCCGGCCGATGATGGCTGGGGGGGAGGCGAGGGGAAGAGGGGTGGGTAGGAGGTTTGCAGGAGGCCATCCATGCATGCTAGGGCTAGAGAGAGAGGAGACATACCGGTAACCAAGAACACTTGAAAACGACTAAAGCAGCAACTGATCGCAGTACCGGCACACGCCTACCTCTCCCTTTCTCGGGCCCACGCTTTTCCTTTTTCGCATGCCCTGCCACTGGACAGGAACCCACCCAGCCCCAGCCTCGCCACCCCAACCACAACCCCCCAACCCACCCCAGCCCCAACCCCCCACCCCACCCCGCTCGCCCCACCCAGCGTGCACACGGGCAGCAGCCAGTCGTTCCCCGCCAGCGGCCCCGCTGCCAGGGGCTTGGAGGCCAGCAGCACCAGCACCGCCGCCACCATGAGCTTGTCAGCCACCGGGTCCAGGAAGGCACCGAAGGGGGAATAGGCGTTCTGAAGGGGGAGGGGGCGGGAAAGGAGGTGATGAGTAGGAGAGGCGTGTGGGAGGAGGAAGGGTGAGAGAGGGTGGGGAAGGAGGGAGGGAGGAGGAAGGGAGGGTGCGGGGAAACAGGGCGTGTGGGGTGAGGCGGGCGGTGCTGGGAACATCGCAGCAGGACGTGAAGGGTGTGAAGATAGGAGTCAAGTTGATGTGAGCATGCTGCTCGCGACGGAACGGTACGGCTGGGATCTGGGGGGCGGTAGGAAAGGGAGTGGAGGTCAAGGCCTTCCACGGGACGTTGCCACCCACCATCTTGCGTGCGAGATAGCCGTCCAGCCAGTCGGTCAGGGATGCGACCGCGAATATGGCTGTGGTGGCCGCTGCGGAGTACGGCGAGCTCCAGTACCAGGCTGAGCAGGGCAGGGCAGGGCAGAGACAGCAGAGAGCGGGTGTGAGGATTGTAACAGGAGCCCGATAATACCAAGTCAGGTATGTGAAAGGGGTACTTTGTAGCGTTAGTACCTGAGGTCAAGGCTGGGAACCTTACCTGCGATGAGAACGGGGATGGCTGCCACGCGACCTATGGTCAGCATGGTAGGAATTGTAATAAGGACATTGTTACTAGGTGGGGTTTGCGAAGTAGACGTGTTGCTTCCGCTCATCTGTCGGTCGTCTGAAGCGCCAGTCGGATGCTGCTTCGGTTGGCTGGCATGCGCTGTTAGTCGCGAAGATGATATTTGTCGATGACATTGCCATAAAGAACTAACGCAGCTTTGTTGGGGTACTCGTAAGAGCGCGCGAGCGTGGCTATGAGTCGTCGTTGTGCATAGCCGAGTGCAAACCTTGCCAAACGACGCCATGATTTGCATTGCCAAGCCAAACCAGCTAAGCGATGAGTGACAAACACTTAGAGATACGTAGTCGCTGCAGCAAGTGCCAGCAAGTCTATATTGGTGCCGTACATGGCCTTTCCTTTAGTCGCTTACGGATTTCGTTAATCGCAATTAACATTTCAACTGAGTCAATGACAAAGAGCTTGAATGCTTACATAATAAAGTTATCTAGCGACACCCATGCAGCGTGCAACGAAATCAGCTTCTCGACTGCTGTTTAGCTGCCAGCAGCACTGCCTTACCAAGCGGCTATTCGCGACAGCTGCTGCTGTCGTAGAACCAGCCTGTTCTCCCGTGTCTGTATCTGACCCGGGTTCGATTGCAACCACCACCGCAATTTGCCGAAACAGCAGCGGTCATCGCGCGACTGTCCTAGATGGCCGTGCTGTTGCTGCTGCTTGGGAGAAGGAGCTGGCGAACGATGTCCAGTTGCTGACGAAGCTGCTGGGTCGGCCACCGGGTCTGGGTGTGGTGCTGGTGGGCAGCCGACCGGACTCCATTCTGTACGTGACCAAGAAGCAGGAGGCATGCCAAAAGGTGTTTATGCGGGACAACGGGGAGTGTAGAGCAGATTAGGTCTGTCAGGATCACGCGAATTTGCAATGGCGGATGGAGGCTGGCGGGTGTGGAGGTAGACTAGGGTTTACCTGCTCTTCATACTCTAGCGGCAGTGGCATGCTATCGTGCATGCTAGAAATGTAGTATATCCCTCTCACGTCTTCTCCCCACCAGTCCGCTCCGGTGCATCCTCACCGACCCTGACCTACCGTACCCACATCTTCTCCTGCCGCCTCAGGCCGGCGTCCGTACATTCATACGGCAACTGCCCGAGTCCGTGACTCAGGCGCAGCTGGAAGCAGCGGTGGCCGCCACCTGCGGTGACCCACGGGTCGATGGCGTGCTCATTCAGCTGCCCCTGCCGCGCCACCTAAGCGAGGAGGCGGTGATGGAAGTACTAGAGCCGCGGAAGGACGTGGACGGCTTTCATCCCCTCAACATGGGGTAGGGCTGGGTGGGGTGGAAGACGCATGGCTAGGACCATGCTGGTGGGGGTTGCTGGTATCAATAGGTATACAGCTATGTACTTGGATGAAACAAGCGGGCCGGTAGAGCTTCGTTCGTATCACACATCACGGACCGCACCTTTCCCTCGTCACCCTGCATGCCTCCCTACCTGCCCACACCTCCTTGCCCACCGCCCTCCCTGCCCCGCACCCCACTTGGTCTGTACCACCTTGGGCTTATCCAATTTCCCTGTCTTCAATTTCCCCCTGTCCTTCACACCCCCTATAGTCGCATGCTGATGCGGGGTCGTGGTGTGCGGCTGGTGCCCGCCACCCCCCTGGGCTGCATCGAGCTGCTGCGGAGGAGCGGTGTGGACGTGCAGGTGTGCGGGCGGGGGCGGGGGAGGGCGGGGGTTGTTGGCCATGGCTAAGGACTGGGTTGCATGTTGGGCCAAGCCGGTCAGAGGGAGCTCGGGACGGGGTGGCTGGGGTGAGGGCTGCGGCGAGGGTGGAGTTGGGAGCGGAGTGTCCGAGGGAGAGTAGGCTGCGTTGAGGGAGGTGGGGGCGGGGATTAACAGGGATACATATATATTCCGCATTAGGCTGGATGGGTGCGGGCGGGGATGGGGGGCTGTCATGGGAGCAAGGGCCTGCAAGCAGTGAACCCCGACCGCGTGCCATCTCCCTGAAGCATTTATAACAGGAGGTATAACCAGACGTAGGTAACTACCACCAGATATGCCTGCATTCCCCGCAAGCTACATGCCTTCCTCCTGCTCACTCCTTTCCTTACCCTTCATGCTTCTCCCCCCGTCCTCCCTTTAACCTCCTCCTCTTCTCCTCCCCCCCGCAGGGCAAGACGTGTGTGGTGCTGGGCGACAGCAACATCGTGGGCACCCCGCTGGCGGCCATGCTGCGGGACCGGGGGGCGGCGGCGGTGACCATCTGCCACCGCAGGAGCTACCGGGAGTGAGTGGGTGGCGGGAGGGAGGGGGGTTTGGGAGCGGCGGCTGGGTGTCGTACACATACGCATAGACAGGGTGAAATGCCTGTATGATTGCCATACGGGATAGGAGGGAAGGAGGAGAGGGAAGAGGAGAGGAAATCGTTGGGGGGGATGAGTGGTCCAGAGGAGCAAGAATACTGGTGATATACGGTATGTTTGGGTCCGGGACAGACATGTGTGGGTGCATGGATGCGGTGTTGGGTACACGGGAAGCAGCCTTGCACCTGCTAGAGCTGCGAAAGGTTACCCAGTGCCGTCATCCTGAGAACCTCAACCTCATCCCCACCTTAGGCTCCCTCCCTCCCATTCCTGCACCCTCCCTAAACCTGTCCCCCCCCTCCACAGCTGGTTTGTCGACCAGCAGGAGGTGCGGCGCAAGCGGGCAGCCGCCGCCGCATGCCTGCCGCCCCTGCCCGGCCCCTCACCCAGACCGCCGCAGCCGTTCCCGTCCACTCCCGCAGCACCATCATCATCATCATCAGCAGCAGCAGCCGCATCAGCAGCAGCCACAACCCCCGAAGAGCCCACATGTCAGCAGGAGCACCCACAGCCGCTACAGCATCAACAGCAGCATGCCAGCACGGGAGGAAGAGTGCATGGTAGCTCACCAGCTTGCGACTCCTCCCCTCAATGCAGCCCGTCCTCCTCCTCCCCCACCCTTCTGTCCTCCTCCTCCTCCCCGCCCGTCTGCCCCGCCAGCTTCCAGTCCTACCAGCTCCCCGACCTCACACGCAGTGCGGACATACTGGTGGTGGCAGTGGGGTGAGGCAGGGGTTCCGGCTTATGATGATGGTATAGCGCACAGGGTTGGAGTATGGGATGAAGGCGGCAAAAGGGCGGCAAGAAGCGAGGGAGGGACACTGAAAGCAGTTGGGAAAGCGTTGGCCATCTCTGCTCTCCTTGAAGCAGGTTGCTGGTAGTGCTGCCGAGCCCTACAGCACTACACACACCTGTCCCACGCCCCTCACTAAACCCGCGCCTCCCCCCCCTGCCCTCCCCCCCTCTGCAGCCACCCGGAGCTGGTCCGCGGCGACTGGGTGCGCCCGGGTGCCGTGGTGATCGATGTGGGCATCAACGTGGTGGGAGCACTGCCGCGCAACTCACAAGCGACCAGCACCCACACCAGCAGCACCAGCAGTGCGACCAGCACTAGCGGTACGAGCAGCACTAGCAGTACGATCAGCAGCACCACCGCCAACACTACTTCGAACAGCGGTCAGCAGCAGCAACAACAACAACAGAATGAGATGGAGGAGATGCAGCAACAGAGAAGACATCAGGACGACGCGGCGATGCATCAGCCGGCGCCGCTGCGGGAGGTGCGATGTACGCCGTGTTCAGACAGCGGCGTGGAGAGCTCAGACGGAAAAGCAGGCGGGGCTGCAGCTGCTGCCTTACTTGGGTCTTGTACGACAAGCAGCAGCGGGATGACTTGCGACAGTAGCAGCAGCGGGGGTTGCAGTGGCAATCAGGGGGAGTTTGGCAGCGGCGGTGGCAGTGAGAGCGGCAGCAGCAGCAGCGCGGGCGACGACGGCAGCTCGTTATGTAACCGAAACCTGACCTTCCATGTGGTCGGCGACGTGGCCTTTGAAGAGGTGTCGCAGGTGGGTTGCAAAGAAAGAGTCGGGTTTCACAGTTGGCAAGGAGCAGCGCATCATGTAGGTAGTGCCGTGGAAAGGCAAGGCTGGGGGCTGCTTAGCAGGAATCCAACCAACTAACTCAGCTGCCAACCCACATTTTCCCTCTCCGACCCAGATTAACTGCCTGACCCACATCACCAACTAACTCAACTGCCTTCCCAACCAAACATCGCTTCCAAACCAAAATCGCCCCGCTGCCTCCCGTCTCTCCGACATGTGTTTTCGCCTTTTCGCAGGTGGCGGGCGCCATCACCCCAGTTCCCGGCGGTGTGGGCCCTATGACCATCGCCGCACTGCTGCACAACACGCTGAAGGCCGCAAAGTACCGAGTTGGGCTGGAGACGTGGTGATGTGTTGTGGTGGGGGCTGAAGAGGTGTGGTGTGGGTCGGGACGGTGACGTGGTCGTGAGGGGGAGGGCTTGAGAGGCGCTCCGCAGGACAGGGCGTCGTTGGTCGGAGGTGGTAGCCAGTGGGCTGCGCGAGGGAAGGGTCGGCTTGTGTTGGATGCGGATGCGGGCCTGTTGAGGTATCAGACTGGGGTTTAGTTTGGTTATTAGGTTAGGTAGGTAACGGAGCCGGAAGCAGGGCCGCGGAAGAAAGAGCAGTGGTGAAGGGAAAGATAGCGGCGACACGCATATTGCGTGGAATTGCTTGCAAGGGGGCATAGGCGGATAAGGTGGGTAGTGATGCTTTTGACAAGGCGAGGCTGTTGCGCGCGCTCGGGTTTTTAGGTAATGTGCATGATAGGGCAACTTCGTTTTCCAGGTTACCTTGTACACTACAAGTTGATAGGCAGGGTGCGCGATAGGCGGGCGTGCGTAGACGCAGTCTGGCAGCTGCCACAGCTGCCATCTTGCAGCAGGATCACAGGTCCCCTTACCTCCAGTCTTTGATCGGAGGTGCTTGATTACCTTGCGTTGCGTTGCGGGCGGTAGTAGCGGCGGGGTTCCCAGTAGGCCAGTAAGCGCTAGTAAAGCACGTTGCGCTAGTAAAGCACGTTGCGCTAGTAAAGCACGTTGCGCCGTGTATTTGTTTGAGCAGGTTGAGCCCGATACACTGCCGATGAGGCCTTTAGTTTAGCAGGAGGCTGTCATTACGTTCAGGCACTGTGCGATCGCGCCTTTGCATCGAGCTTTTTGAACGAACTGCCGTACTTGGAATCCATGCATGGCGCATTTGTGGCTGCAGGACAGGGATTTGTGGCGCACACATTCTCCGTGCTGCGCTTTTGTAACTTTTACCTAGTGATCTCGCAAGAGCACTATTACATCGTGACCCAAGGGTCTTGCGTGAACTCTTTGAAGTTGCTATAGTTCTAAAGAAGCAGCCAACGAAGGCGAAGTCAAAGGGACTGCTCTAGGTTCACAGTCCAGACCAAGCGTGCGACAGTCTTTCGCTGAACAACTCAGACCTTATCCCTACTACTCGCTCATGGAGGTCACGGCGCTGCTTTCCGCTCTGGGCCCTGCCACCTCTCGCGCTCGCATTTTCGAGCACGTAAGTACCCCAGAGCACGCAGCTGTTTTTTTGCTTTCACCTGCTTCTTGCGGCTGTCTCGTTCTTGGCCACGTGCTGAGGGCGTACGCTACGATGGATGGCAAAGGAGATTCCCCGCTTGCAAAGACTTGCACCTCTTTCCAGCTCTTTGCGCTTCTCTCCGCATCCCTGTTTTGAGAGGAGAAGCATTGACCCTTCCCTCCTTCCTTCTTTGAGCCAGCCGTCACATGTGCATCGCTCGTTTCAGCTTTCTCGCTGTTCCGTTTTCTACAGGCGAGGTCATATGCAGCCCGTGAGGATAGCCAGCTGGGAAAGCGTATCGTTGAGGTGCTCGGAAGGTACGTGCATCCTTTCATAATTTCGAAAACCTTCGGAAGTAGTCCACCACGTGCGCTTGCACGACCACGCCCTTCAGCCGGCCACAGTGCGTGAAATTTCCGAGCTCAAGATGGCCTGAGACTAAGCTTTAAGATCGGCCCTAATGAAGCTGACCCATATCAGGCCGACCCAAATCAGTTCGATTGAAATCAGGCTGACCCAGATCAGGCTGACCTATATCCGCTAAACCTGACAAACGCTCTATTAACTAGCGCCTTTTTGGTGTGTGGCTTTCCTCAACAGGTTGCATCAACGAGTGCATAACTCTGCCGTGCCTCTTCATTTGCCTCCCTTGCTTCCAAATTTAAATCTCCACTGACTCCTCCTTTCTTCTATTTATGCCTACCACCTTATCCTGCCCAACCCCTACAGGCTAGAGCACCTGACAAACACCGCATCAGCCACCGGACGGGCGCGAGTCACCGACCCCGCGCAAAGCTACGACCCACGGGTCACCACTGCATCCAACCGCAAGCGCCCGCGGTCATCGTCCCCTTGCTGCCGACCCACATGCGACGGCGACACTGGAGCCAACAACAACCCCAACAACTTCAAGTACGACACTACTGGTAATAGCCGTACGACAGGCGACGGCCGTCAAGATGAGCGGCAAACAGGCCCGCAAGCGGCACCTCTGCTCCGCGTCCGGCTCAGCCTTGTGGAAGGGCGCGTTGCCCTGCATTTGGAGCTGCAGGAGGGAGGGGCAGAGCTGCCAGTCGCAGCGACGCCTGTTGCTGCTGCTGCTGTTGGCAGGAAGTCGCTGCCGGCAGCAGCGGCGGCGGATGAGGCTGCAGCCGCCGCCGCGGCGACGGCAGCGGCACTGGAGGTGCCGACGCCGACGCTGCCGCCACGCGAGCTGGCCGTCATGAGGCTCAGAGCGCGAGTGGCGGCGGCGGCGGCGATGCGCTGCGCCATGAGGTCGCGGCGGTCCGCCGGCGGCGGTGGCGGAGGCGGCAAGTACGGCAGTTCAGTTGACGGATTCACTTACTCCGCTGCTGCACCGCTGATGTATAGCGGCGTCAGAAGCGCTGCTGCTGTGACGGTTGCTGCAGCGGCGGCGGCTGGGGAATCGGCGGTGGGCACGCCGCTGACGTCGGCTTCGCAGGCTCCTTCAGTACCACTGGGCCCGCCGCCGCCGCCAACAACGCCGCTGCCTCCGCCGCTGCTGCAGCAGCCGCCGAAACGTACGGCAGCGGAGGCGACGAGGCGGTTGCAGTTTACGTCGGCGGATCTCGCGCAGTGGGCGCCCGGGCGGAGTACGACGAGCCGTACGGCGGAGGCTCTGGAAAGGTAAGGTGGCCCTTTAAAGTATCAACAATTATCCCTGTCACCATTTCCACCCCTTACGCAACGCCTAGCCACCACTTCCGCCTCCAGCGTTGCCCCTTACCAAACAACGTTACAACGCCGTCTCCCTTTCCTGCATCCTACCCTCTCTCACACCCCTTTCTTGCCCCCCGCAGGCACTCCTCCGCTGCCCGCTCTCTGCCCTGCCCCTCCGCCCGCCTGCCCCCCCTGCTTGCGTCCAAGCTGCTGGTCGCCTCCCGCTTGCTGCACCGGGCCCGGGGGCAGCTGGCGGCGGCTGCTAGCACTGGGGTGGCGCTGCCGCTGGCCGGGTAAGGAAGAGAGGCGGGGTGGTGGGATGGGGATGTGGGTTTGCCTGGGGTTGTTCGTGAGAAGGAGTTGCCATGCTGTGGTTCTGTTCTTCTATGTAATGCTGCTTCCTTCGTTTAGATCCGAATGAACCCACATGTGTATAACTAACCCTCCACGTCAACCCACATCGTGCCCATACCTCCCTTGTCCCTTCCCATTCCTCCCCCACCGCTCCCGCCCTACCCGCAGGCGCCTCCCCCCAGAGGGCCCCCGCGGTCCCGGTCCCGCCGTACACATGATAGCTCTGGAGGCGGGCTGCTGCAGGGAGGGCGAGTGGTGGGGCCGCCCCCCGCAGCGTCAACAGCAGCAGCGGCAGCAGCAGCTGAGGGGCGAGGTGGCGGAGGCGGTGGCGGCCTGGGGCCGGACGGTGCGGGATTGCGTGACTGAGGCCAGGAGGGTGGTGGCGGAGAGGGCGGCCGCGGTCCGGCAGGTGGGGTAAGGGTGTGCAGCGGGGGGAGGAAGGGGAGAGAAGAAGAGGAGGAGGCAGATTTCGAATGGTTGGGCTGTCTTCGTTAACGATCCACTCCCTTCCTCTTCGACACTTAACCGGTAGTCTTATTTCTGCCAAATCTTTCCTTGGTTGCAGGCCCGGGCAGCTGCAGCTGCCGCCGCGGGAGGTACCGCCACCAGTGCTGCAGCCGCTACTGCTGCTGCTGCTGCTGCTGCTGCGAGTGCCAACGGCGGTGGCGGCGGTGCGGGTCTGCGTGCTGCACTGGGTGCGGGTGTGGCGGGGTGGCACGCGGAGGCGGTTGCGGAGATGAAGCGGCGGCGAGAGGAGGCGGCAAGGCGGCGCATCGAGCTGCTCAAGTCGAGTGACATGCAGGTGGGTGGCGGGGAGGGTGAGGTGGCGGGGGGCTGCGTGGGGGGCTGCAATACTTGTCATTGCCGGAATGTGGAGATGTGGCTTGATTTGTGTGCGCCAGGATCGAGCATGCATGCACGCGTCAACCGGACTACCAGCACTCCTAAGCCCCCGCACACTGCTTCCCACACTTCCCCATGTCGTACACCTCCCCCGTACACCTCCTCTCTCACCCGCTCCCACCCCCACCCGCCTCCCCCCACCTCCCCCCTGTCCTCGCAGTCCTACCTTGCCATGGTCCGCTCCGAGAAGAGCTCCCGACTGGGTGACATGCTGCGCCAGACGGACGAGTGCCTGCGCAGCTTCGCCAGCAGGCTGGGGCTGGAGCAGCTGATGCTGGGCGAGGGGGCGGGGGCAGATGGGGCAGCCGGCCAGGACGCGGACGCAGCAGGCGGGGGCAGTAGCGGGGGCGGCGGGGGCGGTGGTAGTAGCACGGATGCGCTGCTGGAGAGCAGCGAGGGGTGGGGCAGGCTGGCTGCGAGGTTGGCGGCGGACATAGCGCAGCAGCCGAGCAGCCTGAAGGCGAATCTGAGGGAGTACCAGATGCATGTGAGGGGGGTTGAAGGGGGGCGGGGGTGGGGAGAAAGGGAGACGGAGGTTGGCCTTGGTTTGGGGGTCTAGGTTGGCGGCAGAGTGGGGCTCCATGTTTCTGTTGGTCAACAATGTCGTCACCATCACCCTAAGTGCCTCATGTGTGTGTGCCGGTATCCTGCCCGAACCCATGAGCCCTACCCGCGCACGCATCCACACGGCATCATGCCCGGCTTCCTGGCGCACGAGTGCACAACTGCTACACGACTCTCCAGTTTCACATCCCCGCCTGCCGCCTCCCTCCCTCCCCCCCACCCCTTCCCCCCCCCCCAGGGTCTCCGCTGGCTGGCGGGTCTGCACGACGCGGGTCTGAACGGCATCCTGGCGGACGACATGGGGCTGGGCAAGACGGTGCAGGTCATCGCACTCATCACCTACCTGGTGCAGGTGAGGGGAAACAAGAATCTTTTCGAAGTCGGGGGGCCGGCTGCTGATCAGACCCATCCCTCTCTCCCTCCCTCCCTCCCTCCCTCCCTCCCTCCCTCCCTCCCTCCCTCTCTCCCTCCCTCTCTCCCTCCCTCTCTCCCTCCCTCTCTCCCTCCCTCTCTCCCTCCCTCTCTCCCTCCCTCTCACCCTTTCCTCACGGCGTGAATGAACCTACCGGCACTTTCCCCCCTCCCTCTATCTCCCTCCCCCCTCCTTCGCCCCCTCCAGGTCCGCGGCGAGCGGCGGCCCTTCCTCATTTCCGCGCCCTCCTCCGTGCTCCCCAACTGGGCCTCCGAGCTGGCCCGCTGGGCACCCGGGCTGCGGGTGCTGGACTACCGCGGGTCGCCGGAGCGGCGGGAGCAGCTATGGGCGGAGCAGGTGAGGGGGGGGTGGGGAGGAAGAGGCGGGGCGGGTAAGGAAGAGGCCGGCATGAACCGGTAGCTTGTTGCGCGTTCGTCACCGTACTGGTACCCCTTCTGCGTTCTTTCCTCCTGAACCCTCAACCTCACCACCACGTGGTCCCGCTCCTGTCACAGGTCCTAGGCGCCACTCGCCGCACCCCCTCCTCCTCCTCCTCCTCCTCCTCCCCCGCCTCCCCTCCCTTCCACGTGCTGCTCACCAGCTACGACTTCCTGATGGGCCGCTCCGACCGCCCGCGCCTGGCCCGCCTGCGCTACTGCCACATCATAGTGGACGAGGGGCACCGGCTGAAGAACGCGGGCTGCAAGCTGAACTCGGAGCTGAAACACTACCGCGCGGCGAGCAGGCTGCTGCTGACGGGTGGGGGGTGCGCGGG